TGTCTTTATTATATGATTTTTTTTGACAATCCATAACTCATAATCTAGCTTTGGGAATTGAAGCTTCGTTGATTGATTGACGTGATTCTTTCAAAATTTGTGTTATAGATGCCCATAATGGTTGAGGGACGGGAATTGTTTACTTATATAGTACTGGACAATCCACGTCTCATGATCTTAGCTTTTGGGATTCAGCTAGACTCAACTAATATTGGTGCTCCAGTTGTCTTTATTCGTGCTCCAGTTGTCTTTATTAGTTTGGTTAGATATTCATTTTCTTATCCTCATTTTAATTTTTTATGCTCGTAGTGAATCAGTTAAGAAGAATCCTAAAAATCAAATGCTGGGACGCCGTCAGGTTGTTGACAAAAAGGTACATTTTCTGCAGTGTTCAATTGTTGAGATGACTCTAAGGTTATGTAAGTGATCTTTAAGCTTATTGTAATTTCAACATATATAAAATTCAAAATGTTTACAGGCAGGTCCCTACAGTTGGCTAACATATGAGGAGGTTTATGAAACTACAGTTCAGATTGGTTCAGCCATCCGAAATCGTGGTGTTAATCCGGTGAGTTCTATCCCTAGTTATCATAATCACAAAAAATATACGATGAATTTTGAGGATAATTCACACATTTAGGCTAAATTGCATCTGAACTCTAAAGTATGCGTCTGTTTACTTAGGGAGACCGGTGTGGCATCTATGGTGTGAACTGTCCTGAGTGGATAATGGCAATGGAGGTATGCATTTGCTGTCTGAATTATCTGTTTCCTCACGAAAACAATGATAGATGTTCATCTTGCATCCCTATTAAGCAAACACTTGTTTTACCTTCAGTTTATTGTTTATATTGGAGCAGTAATTTTATTTGTTGATTTTGATCACAGGCTTGTAACAGCCAAGCAATTTCGTATGTACCACTCTATGATTCTCTAGGTATGTTCTTGCTCTTTATCTTTCTTCTTGATTTTGAAACAAAGAAAAGTTATAATTGTAGATTTTTTCTGTGAATTTGCCTGAATTGCAGGTGCAAATGCAGTTGAATATATCATCAACCACGCTGAAGTTTCAATAGCTTTTGTCCAAGAAAGCAAGATCCCGGCTGTATTTTTTCTTCTCCTTATGCTCAATGTCATACTTTTTGCTTTCTTATTCGTGAAATGTTATACTGAGACAATGAGGACTGAAGTGATGGTTCTGAAAGTACTGCGTGGATTTTCATTGAACTGCTCATTATGTTCTTCCGATGAATTATCTAATGTATTTAATACGTCTAATAGATATATCATCTGAATTTAGCAGAAAATTAGCTTTAGGTAACATACTCAAAATTACCTAATCATTGAATTCTTTTGCAGATCTTATCATGCTTGTCTAACTGCAATTCTTATCTAAAAAGTAGGTGAAATTATCAACTTTCCAAAATAAGCTGCTATATGCAAGTTCAGTAAGAGTAACTTGTATATCTTTTCTTAAGCTATCGTCAGCTTTGGAAACATTTCAAGCACACAGAAAAGTGAAGCCGAGGAACAGGGAGTAGCTTGCTTCTCATGGGAAGAGTTTGTTCAAATGGTAAAGGCAATATGTAAAATGATGCATTCTGATCACTCGTTATTGCTCCCTTCACTTACACGTTATGTCACTCTATGTAGGGAAGTTTGGATCATGAACTTCCTCAGAAAAGGAAGACTGATATTTCCTCAATTATGTACACTAGTGGAACTACTGGAGAACCAAAAGGTGTCATTCTGACTAATGGTGCTTTCATGGGAGAAGTTCTGTCAATGGATCAACTTCTCCTTGAAACAGACAGAGAGGTAATTTTGAGTAATAATTAGCAATATAACTACTATCATAAATTTTTGTGATTGGTTAGTGTCTATTCTTGATCCATCACGAGCAATTAGTTCGATCAAACTTGAACTCAAGACATCATAAAGTAATCATTAGGCTACCAGGAAATCCTGTTTGGCTAAAACAGATAAGAAAATCAACTGTTGGTTTATATGTTTTCTATCTTATTCTCATTAATTCAATAAGAGCAAAGTGTGATCTCACTCTTATCAATTTGTCTTAATTTCAGGGAACGGGGGAGGACGTTTACTTTTCGTTCCTTCCACTGGCTCATATATTTGATCAAATAATTGAGACATATTGCATATACAGAGGTGCTTCAATAGGATTTTGGCAAGGCGTAAGACACATATATTCTTTCTGCACTGAATTACTTATAACTTTTCTTTTACTATAAACTTGCTGTGTCAATTGATTCAAATATATATTTGCAACTGAATAACAGGACATTAGATACTTGATTGAAGATCTTCTGGTATTAAAGCCGACTATATTCTGTGGAGTTCCACGAGTTTATGACCGGATATACACAGGTTCCTGATCTACTAATTCAGTAAACAAAGTTTCAAATTTGACATCAAAAAGAAAGTATTGTCTGATGTTGCTTCCAATTTCTTTTCGGTTAATTTTTTTATTTTTCGGTGTGGGCAACTCAGGGGTGATGGATAAAATCGAAGCTGGAGGTACATTGAAGAAGCTGCTTTTCCAGTTTGCATACAACTAGTACGTCCTGTCATAACCTTTTCATACTTTAGATGAACATCATATGCATTTGGTTCCCTTCATTGCCATCATATATTAAGCATTATATATTTTACAGCAAATTAAGGAATATGGAGAAAGGACTGAGACAAGATGAAGCAGCTCCGCGCTTTGACAGGCTTGTTTTTGATAAGGTTAGCTATCTGATCCCCAGCATTTACCTGGTCCATACGTAGTTTGGTTAACCTTATTTGCATATACTTTTCTTTCCAGATCAAACTAGCATTTGGTGGACGAGTTCGTCTGATGCTTTCTGGAGCTGCTCCTTTGCCCAAGCAAGTCGAAGAATTTCTAAGGGTGACATGTTGCTGTTCTTTATCACAAGGCTATGGTATTGAATTTTCTTCTTCACTATTGTTACTTCTTTATCACCTTTTTATCTGCTTATTTTGACATATTATTCTTCATTGTTAGGGCTTACTGAAAGTAGTGGAGGATGTCTCACATCCATAGCCAATGTACACTCCATGACAGGAACTGTTGGTGTTCCAATGACTACAATTGAGGCAAGACTTGAGTCAGTGCCAGAAATGGGATATGATGCTCTTGCAAGCGTGCCTCGTGGAGAAATTTGCCTGAGGGGAAAAACCTTGTTTTCGGGGTACCATAAACGAGAAGATCTTACAAAATCTGTACTTGTGGATGGATGGTTTCATACAGGTAAGAAAACACTTGAGAAGTGAATAACTTCTTTCTGCTATATGAATGAAAGTTGCAATGCAATTATCAATGATCTGTGATATTTCATATCATTGAACTTGAGTTGTAATAACTCTGAGCATGAGAAAAAAATTCAGGTGACATTGGTGAGTGGCAACCAGACGGAGCTATGAAAATCATTGACCGGAAAAAGAATATATTCAAGCTGTCCCAAGGGGAGTATGTAGCTGTAGAAAACATTGAAGGTGTATACTCCAGATGCCCTCTTGTTACATCAGTAAGCCTAAACATTTGAACTTTGGGGTGGTCTATCTTCCCTGTTTCCTTAATGCTAATTAGGTTTTTTCGACATGGATTATGTATGTGTTATACTCATACTAACTCATCATCTGGTTCACAGATTTGGATATATGGAAACAGTTTTGAATCCTTCCTAGTGGCTGTGGTAGTTCCAGAAAGAAAGGCACTTGAAGACTGGGCCTCGAGTAATCAAGAAACCGGAGATTTTTCATCTCTATGTAATAACACAAAGGCAAGGAAGTACATATTGGATGAACTCAACAGCACTGCTAGGAAACACCAAGTATGTAATGTTCCAAATTTCAAATCCTCTTTTTTCTTTCTGGTTCTTATTCTGATCTAGAAAATACTTCCACAGCTTCGAGGCTTTGAAATGTTACGTGCAGTTCATTTGGAACCAAATCCATTTGACATTGAGAGAGAATTAGTTACCCCTACATTCAAACTCAAAAGACCACAACTGCTCAACTATTACAAGGTATTACAAGCTCAACTCATGTATGTTTTGTTGTTACGGTTGCTAAAGTTCAGTGACTTTACTGTTATAGTGGATAAAGTTCAACATCAAAAAATGGTTTTGTGAATGAAGTTATCAATGACTATATATGAAATTAACAACTAGATTTAGCAAATATTTGTATCAAGTCACTTGATAGTGTTATATGTTAATGTTTGCAGGATATTGTCGATCAACTATACAAAGAAGCAAAGGCAAAAACTGCATAAAGCCATAGAAATTGGAAGTGCTAATCAATTTGCAAGCTCCTATTGATTCTTTCGAAAGTTCAATGCTATTATCGAGTGCTCATTACATATAATCTACATTTAGAACTTGATATATAGAAAGACCAGATATATATGTACTGTCCCAGTCCTTTCCCTTATTTTATGTGTATATATATGAACTCCATCATATATTTACCAAGGTATGAAAATTAAGTATCTTGAATTAAGCTCAGAGTCTACAAAATCTCAATATGCCATATCATTTGTCACACGATAGAACAGAGTGATGTTTTAGGAAGTCCTGACTTGCTTTATTATGGTCCCGTCTTTCTCATTATGCATAATAAGAGCTTAGTACACTCGATTGCCCTTTTGATTAAGTTTTTTCGTTTGAACTGCTTACTCTTATGGAAAAACTTGAAACAAGTAAAAGAAAAATTCTATTGATTCACTTGAAGATTGAAAGAAAAAAACACAGATCCAAAAATAGAAAGGTAAAACGAAAAACATCCACAATTCATGGTAGATAAGATAACGAATTTTAGGTACATAAACAAATTATATTCACATAACAAACAAGCAATCTAAAATTCTATTGATTCACTTGAAGATTGAAAGAAAAAAACACAGATCCAAAAATAGAAAGGTAAAACGAAAAACATCCACAATTCATGATAGATAAGATAACGAATTTTAGGTACATAAAGAAATTATATTCACATAACAAACAAGCAATCTTTCACAAAATTACCAGACAAATCTATATTGTAGAAAAACAATCACACTGAAATCTTCTCCAAACAAATTGCAATCATGATATATCGAATTTTGTTGTTTATAGAAAGTGGAGAATCAATGCCCAGACTGGATATACCAGAAGAAGGATGATTCCTATAGTGTTTGAAATTCCATTAGCTTTAGTGAAGGAATTTCTGAATCCACCAGATGCTCTAATGTGTTCTTGCAACAGATAGCATCCAATTACAAGGCAAATGAACGTACCGATCCACATGTCCCTTATGGTGTCGGCGAAAAAACTTGGAGATACTACCATCAGAAGGACCAATGCTGCTGGTGCTTCAAGCCAATCTGCACTCAAAATTAACGATGAACTAGTGGCTCGTGGCCTAAGCCTTTCTATAAGTAATTAGGAGACCCTAATATTCATTTATACGTAATAGAATCCCCTTCATACAAATCAAAAGAAGGTGTGTGAACCTGGAAAGTGTTTTGGGAAAAAGAGGCGTGTTATAACAGCAATCAAAGATAGCCATTTTCCGAAATCTCCCCTGCAGATTTAGCACCAAAGATAAAACTTGTTCAAAGAAAAGAAGTAAGGAATTAGGAGGGAAATTCCAATAAAAATTAAAAATTAATTACCTGAACAAACCAAAGAGTAATGAAGGGAAACTCAAGAAAATGTATGGAATTAGGAGAGTTGTGAGCATGTTGCTCCTCCAGTTTGTTCGATCCAAGATCAACAAGTAACTGTAAAATACAAGTGAATTAAATAAGAGGACCGACCGATAATCAATGGACCTTAACAAACTCAACCTCAAAATGAACATAAACACTAAAAGCTAAAGCTAGAGAATTTACATACATAGCAGCAAAAGAAGCAATCCATTTGAGAAAAGAAGTGCCAAAACCGATTCCACCAAGCATAATAACATGATTAGCTAACTTCTTAGCAGCAATCCCAATTTCCTTCAAATCTGAATCAATCAGATCACTGCCTACTGATGCTTCTCTCTTCATTGCCAAATAACTCTTCTTCATCCCCATCTACTAATTATTCTCAAAACTAATTTTAGTGACAATCAATTATATATTTTAACTACTTTGAAGCCTCCTGGAATGAGTGTGACCGTTTTGTTTTGTTTATGCACATTGGGTGCCACGTGGAACCATATTGATCGCTCTTCTATACGTTATCATCTAAAATAATAACAACAATTACTTTGCCACTTGTTGTTGCTACCTTCAACTTTATTTCATCTTTAATACTGTTGTGACTTTTTTTCTGTATTACAATTTGGATATGCCTTATAAATATTCTATATTATTAATCATAGCGCATTTATAAAATTATGCCACGTCAGGGCAAAGAGAATAGTATATAAAAGAAATTTATCCATATGTAATGATGACTCATTTGTTATCTGGAAGAATTAAAATGCAGATATGTTTGATAATGTATTTTATTTTTAAAATTTGGTCAGCTCTTGAAATATCCCTCTCACCTGCCTTGTCACGTCGATTGTATTATTTGTTTAATTCTAATAATGGGAACGGCTAATTGATTGATTGATGCATAAAGTATTGTATTGGTGAACTACATATCCCATTCATCCTAAAAGATAGAACTATTAGGTGGAAAAAAGATCATTCATTCCAACATTATTTTATAGTAGAAAAACAGAAACGTAACATGGGGATTTAAATGCTACTTCCTACATTTTTTTACTTTATTGTTAATCCCAGGATGACAATTAGGCGGGGTAGGGTAAAGCTTAATTCGTAAAAATTTTAATCTGTTTCGCCCCGCATAATATTTTTCTACAATATCAATCGGCCCCATCTCACCCCGCATAAACTCCCCCGCCCCGTTCCTCCAAAAATTCTTATTCGATCCTTAATATTTTTTGTTTGATCACGTAATCAAGAATATATACACAGCACAGTATACAACTTTGCATCCAAACTTCAAATAAAGAAACTATAGTTTAATTCATTGTTATCCTTGATTTTATTTTCTTTTATATAAATTTTGATATATTAATAGTATCCAATTTCCATAATTCAACTGTGTGAACAATACATACATCCCTGGAAATCCTTGGAATTGACAGAAATAATCTTCATTTTTCACTTGACCGCTAATCTTCATTTTTCAGCCGCAATTGTTGACACCCAATTTTGATCCTCCATGATAAGAATTAATTTTTGAGTTTCTTAATTTCAAACGATTTAGTTTTATAAAAATTCAGACAAGTTTTTAAAGTGTTTTTAGTCATTTTATAATTTTTAAATAATAAATATATTTTATGAATATTTGAAAATTGTCTCAAAAAGATTTGATTTTCAATTAATTATATTTTGATTAATTATTAACAATTCATCTTATGGCTGAATTCTACGGATTGCCTCAAATTGGTTGAAATTGCAATTCGGTGGTTATTTTCTGCAGTCAAATTGATGACTTCGACCCCTTTTAATCCAATTTCCAGGTGCCCAATACAACTATATGAGCAGCCCATTTTCCCTTGAAGAAACATACAACACCAACAATACGTTCAGTTTTTACTTTCCAAATGCATGCTGCATCTTCTTCTTCTTGTCAAGAGCATGCAAGAGTGTGATGGATGTTCTCTTATTTTATTCAAGTTTTAAAGTCCTCGTCTCATTCTTTTGTGTCTAACTTGAGTTTTGTATTTAGTAATTATTGGGCCAAAAACCCATTTATTTTGACTACTACCTTGTTAGTTTAGGATAGGTAGAAATTGGGAAAGAAAAAAACAATTTTCTTATGTTAGTCTAGAATAGATACCAAGTGTTGGGTCAAAAACTCAAAAGGTAGAAATCAGGCCCAACTACCGGCCCAGACGGACAGAATCAGACTTGAGCCCAAACTTTTCTTTCCTTATCTATTTAATTGTTATTGTGTGTTTTACTTGTTAAATTAATTTTAAGATTTTCCTAATTTAATTTCCAAAAGGGTGACCGTTTTGAGTAAATTATCCATATTTTTTTCTGAAATAAAAGGAAGTACTTATTTTCTACTCAAGCTTTTAAGGATATTTGCAAAAATATTTATTTAGAGATATTTTTATGTTTCCCTTCCCCAAAAATGATTTTGAGTTTTAAATCTTTGTTTGCCTATCTCTTTTAAATAGTTAGCCAAATATTTTAATTACCGAATAATCGCAAGTTAACGGATGTTTTAGGTGCTTTCAAACCCTTCCTAAAACATTAATATGAACCCCTGAACCTTTTTTATAAAATTTTCAATTGATTTACTGTTTTGATCTTTTGAAGATTAGTTTTCTTAATTTTTTTTTAAAAACTAAGTGATGACTCTTTTCATTTTTAAATAAAGAAGCAAATACAAGTATACAACCATTCTCTTTTCTTTTTTTTCCTTTTTAATAAATAAAACATTCAAGAATAAATAAAATATATTTATTAGGGTAGGCCCCACGAATAACGTAGGACTTGAAAATTGAACCATTTAATCATTCCTAGACTTGATGTAAATTATTAGTTTCATTTTAAAACTATTGACAACCTTAAAAATGCTAATTTAAGTAATTTAAAAACACACCTTAAAAACACTATATATAAGTTCATGTTATAAAAAATCTGGTTGTGTTGTCCAACAACCTGAATACATGATGAATTAAAGTTAAGCCGTAGACTGTTAAATATTGTGTCAAATATATATAAGTTAAACACGATAAAATAAAAGGTTATTAACCTGCACAACAACACAATCAGATCTTTCGTCGGGGCTTAGGGGTGTACATAGCCGGGTTAGTTCGGGTTTTTCAAATATCAAACCAAATTATTTGTGTTGGATTTGTAAATTTATAAACCAAACCAAACCAAACCAATAAAACTCGGGTTTTTCAACCTCGGGTTTTTTTGGATTTTTTCGGATTTTTCCGGTAAAGTATTCATACAAACATATAATTTACTTGTACTTCAAATATTTCTTTAGTCCTATCAAAACACAACTATCTAAGATGTTTCTTAAAAATATAACACAATATGGTATGATTAATGACACTAAAATATCCAACAAAAATAATAATAATGAAATCGCGTAAAATAAATATTGCAAATTAACAAGTCATAATGAAAATGATCATAATTTAAAAGTACTAAATCATGCTAAACTTAAGTTTAATAAGTATTAGTTACATGACTAAATATTAAAGGAAATTAAAATTAGATTATGTATTTTAATTGTCTAAACCAATGTAAAACTAAAGAATAAATATTCAATATTATTGTCATTCTTAGTGTTGAATTGATTTTTTTTTTTGCATTAGTATTAATTTGATTTTGATTTAAGCTTTATTATAATTACCAACATCTGTGGACTATTATCTTTATTGGCCCATTCATAATTCTAAGTTTCAAACTTGAAATAATATATTAAAAGATAAAAACTATGAAAAAGTATAAGAAATATTTAAAAATTATATCAAAGTAAATATTCTTATGTATAAAATAAAATTTTAAAATTATATATATAATGTCGGGTTGGTTTGGTCTCGGGTTGTTTTTTTTTAGTTAAAACCAAACCAACCCAAATATAGTCGGGTTTTTTTTATCAAACCCAAACCAAGTCAAACCAAACCACTAGTCAAGTTTTTTTTCCGGGTTGACTCGGTTTGCGATTTGGTTCGATTTTCAGTTCGATTTTGTACACTCCTACGTCGAGCATTGTTTGTTATCTATTGTTATTGTGGCTAAAGTGCTACTATTACTACAATAAGTTTCAACTCGTAGCAAAAACTACTAATTGGCTACAAAGTTTTATTATAGTAGAAAAGACGTGATTATGTCATTTACTATTGCCATAAGTTTTTTTTTATAATTTGAAGCAAAAATATTTATTTTGCTACAATATTTTGATTCAAATAAGTTATTGTGGCAAAGTGCTACTATTACTACCATACGTTTCAACTCATAGCAAAAAACTATTAATTGGCTCCGAAGTTTTCCTATAACAGAAAAAGACGTGGCTATATCATTTAACTATTGTCACAAGTTTTTATTTTATAGTTTGAAGCAAAAATATTTATTTAGCTACAATATTTTGTTTCAAATAATTTATTGTCGCTAAAAGGTTACTATTGCTATATTAACTTTTATGGCATGACAAAAACTTATGATCCGCTAAAAGTTTTATTGTAGCAACACTAAAGAATTGACTTTGTCAATTAGATTTTTATGGCTAAGATAATTTACGAATAAGTAGATAGCTATGGAAGTCAAATTTTTGTGGCTATTATGCAGTAATTGCTACGATTTTTACATTCATAACTTAAATTTTGTAGCTATAGATACACTGTATTGTAGTGCAAATAAATAAAGTTATATTATCCCTCATAATATATGGATGACCGTGGATTGTCCTCAAGCGTCACCGGATGTAGGTGATGCATTTTTAAGGTGGGTCTAATTCCACTTTAATTTCTAGATCCAAAGTACTTATAGGCTGAAATAATTTGAATAGTGGTGCTTTTTCTTTTTAACTTTTACAAGTAGTACTTCAATGATTGTAGTGAAAATTAGGATGGTCCTAATGATGAATAAAAACCCTACACTAAGTGGAATAGGAATGACCATTTCACATTGTTTTGTCACTTTTTCTGATTTTATTTTAATACGACTTTAAAACCACATCCAACTATAATACTCTTAAGAATTTAAGAGGCACGTGTTTCACTATTTTGGTGATTTTATATGCTTAGAATGAATTGTCTCTGGTTAGTTAAACAATGCCAATATTTGGTGTATCTTACATGCATGTCGTTTCCTACTATGTGTTAATTAATGTAAATTAACGAGTTTCTATGACATAATCCATCCATAATTTTTTTAAGTTGATATCAATTTTTACTTGAACCCTTTAACTAAATTTTGTTCATTTTAAATGTTTCAAATAAGATCCCATTGTATCATTTAGAGTCAGATGAACGTGCAATTTGTTTTTCTAAAATAAAAACTTGCATATATACTTTTCATATAGGTACTTAAGTCTCTAACACATTATCTCTCTCTCTCTCTCTCTCTCTCTCTCACACACACACACACACACATATATTATATTAGG